CAAGCACACACACTGTCACTCTCTCCCTCCATTTTCTCTCTCACAATTCTTCCAACCACCAAGCTGCCAAACAAGTGATTCTTTCTCATCTCCCCAACCCATCTCTCTCTCTCTCTCTCTCTCTCTCTCTCTCTCTCTCACCAACACACATGCAAACAGTCATTTTTATGTATGTTTTCTTTCTTTTTGTGTCCCTAGCTGAGCACCTTTAAGCAGGGCCGAATAGTCGGTCATTCCGTGTTTGGAATGACTCCAGCACTCTTAGGTGCGGCACTCAGTTCAGGATGTCTGTGTCTTCTGCGGGTGATGACAGTTGTTTGTCTGAGTGATTCCCGGGGTCAGTGGCTGGTTGGAACCAACAGTCTGTGGGGTTCACAAGCGAGGTGAATAGGTGATATGCCACTTCGCTATGTGTTGGATGTGTGGACTGCCTCGTCCCACTCCGCTGCTGCCTTGCTGCTAGTCCCGCTTGCTTCGCAGGTCATTCTTGACAAGCTGCTGTCTTCGCTTGTGGTGTGGCCGTGTTGTCGGTGTTGCCCTGCGCTTCACTGTTCCGCTGCCTTGTCGCCCATCTGCAGGCCGTGCCTTCCGTGTCCTTTACTCGAGTGCCTTGTAGTTTGGCTGCCCTTGTTGGTGTTGCCTTGTGCTTCGCTGCATGGTTGCCATGCTGCTTGTCCGTTTTCCCTGTCGTTCTTTGCAGCAGTCTTTGGCGCTGGGCAGTTGATTGCCCCGGCAGCGTTGCCTGGTGCTTCACTGAGTTGTGTTGCTTACTGCTATGTGTGTGGCTGCCTTGTTGGTGTTGCCTTGTGCTTCACTGCGTGGTTGCCGCGCTGCGCATCCGCTTGCCATATTGTTCCTTGCTGTGGGCTTTGGCGTTGAGCAGCCATGTTGCCTCTGCCGCGTTGCCTGCTGCTTTGCTGGGTTGCTGCCCGTTGCTATGTCCCGCTTGGGGACAGTCTGCCTTCAACATGGCAGAAAGGGTTCATGACTGAAACCATCAATACGGGGATTCCAGCAGATTGTCAAGGGTTCCGCCTCCGGATAAGTCGGTGCAACTCCGACAAACAGTCTATCATCATCAGCTCTTATTTATTTTTGTTTTTTCCGGTCTTTGCACTGTCTGGGTTACCTGTTTGGTGTGCTTGCATGTAGTCTGCCCTCCCTCCTCCCCCCGTGCCCTCCAGCCTATGGCTTGCCTTACTGCTTTTGCCCTTATGCCTGTTTTCCTGCCTGGTCTTTTAATCTTTTTGGTTTTCTGGTTCTCTTTGCTTAGTGTGCTTGCGTGTTGTCTGCCCTTTCTCCTCCTGCCTAGTCTTTGCATCTTTTTGTTTTTCTGGTTTGCTTGCTTAGTATGCTTGCGTGTTGTCTGCCCTCCCTCCTCCCCCATGCCTTCTGGCCTGGTTGTTTTGGACTCTGGAAAGCTGATCATGGCAAGTCGTGAATGCACGAGAGAGCTTCATGAGAAGTAGTAGACTGGCAGCATACACCATCTGATTGGTTACGGTCGGGCCGGGTGTACCATGAATGCTTTTGGGTGCATGGCGAACGACGCCATGGAATATGATCGGACGCACACTGTCACTCTCTTTGGTTTTCTGGTTTTCTTTGCTTAGTGTGCTTGTGAGTTGTCTGCCCTTTCTCCTCCTGCCTAGTCTTTGCATCTTTTTGTTTTTCTGGTTTGCTTGCTTAGTACGCTTGCGTGTTGTCTGCCCTCCCTCCTCCCCCATGCCCTCCGGCCTGGTTGTTTTGGACTCTGGAAAGCTGATCATGGCAAGTCATGAATGCACGAGAGAGCTTCATGAGAAGTAGTAGACTGGCAGCATACACCATCTGATTGGTTACGGTCGGGCCGGGTGTACCATGAATGCTTTTGTGTGCATGGCGAACCACGCCATGGAATATGATTGGACGCACACTGTCACTCTCTCCATCCATTTCCTCTCTCGCAATTCTTCCAACTACCATCTACAAACACCACCGTTCTCCAACCATCCTGACCAGTCCTAGGAGCCCACAGAGCAAAACCCTGCACGTCCTGTCCCCCCAGTTCACAGCCCCACCAGGCCTTCATGACTGAAGTGTCCAACCTGATTTCGGCACTTGATAACTGGCTGATAACAGCTGAGTTTTATTGAAAGCCCTTGGCAAAGGTGGTGGTTGAGGCTTCAAAATCTCAGTTGGGCTTCTTGAAACCGCTTGTGCTGATCGGATCTCCTGAACTCTCAGATTCTACTGAAAAAAGATCACGCGCACAACATACTACGTAGTATTCCTCTCACCAAAGTAAAGACACAAGTTCACAGTCCATCTGCAATCACAATAATTTCTGAATTAGCTGGGGCTGGTCAGCTTAACGAGCATTCCTCTCACCATCTCGTTCTTCAAAATCACCTGAGATGATTATCGCCGAATTTATCGGGCTGCTTTAGGCAAGTTGTCCCCCTCCATTGTGCTGAAACACTTGAACTGTACTCAAAAGATGAACTGTGAAACAACGGTAACAGATTCCGCTGATGGTTCAGACAAGGGGCCACTCTTATCCCCACCACTGCAGCCCCTCGCGCGATTGGCATACTGTGATTGGGGGGGGGGGGCTGACGATTTGCGTGGAACAAGCAGAGCATATTTAATGGGGCCAAATTGAGGCCTTGGAATCATCATACTCTCCCTTCACTGTAAAGTGGGGTTCCGCTGTAGCTGCAGTGTTGCACCTGCAATGATAGTATGCTCAGTCCTTAGCATGACATTTGCATTGAAGAACAAGGAGAGCAGTTTCCATGGCAGGCTGAGACTTCAGCATACAACAGCCTAAATTGGAAGTCCGCCACAGCTGCCAGGCTGCAGCAATTATGGTGGCATGATCAGTCT